TTGGGAAAGTAAAATTTCCCTTTAACATCAGAGCACACTACCACCATTAGGAATAGGTAAGTAAACATCTGTGTGTGTGTGTGTGAGATGGCATGGGGGTAGGATGGGTGAGCTGAGGGGAGGGTTTTCTTAAAGTGGAAGCTGTCCTTTAAAGGGAATTTGGCCTTTAAGTAACGACCGATCGCTAATAGAAATACTGCTTACTGGATGAACAGGTACCACCAAAAAGTATGGCTACTATATATAAACACCCCTGTAGTTTGAAGTAATAACTACCTTTTCTCTGTTCTACATTGTATATCGAAGTATATTCAGGCAACAAAGCAATCAAGTGTTCTGTTTTATGCAGGATTTTGCACTTTATAAAGGATCCACCTTGAACAAAACCAGTATTATTACTACTTATTATATTATTATTAGTAGTACTATTCAGTTTGTTCACTGGACTCTTTGTTGGAATGCAGAATACAAGTTGGTAAGTGCTAATAGTTACAGGTGTGTGTAAAGTAGAAATATGAGTTTTTGGAGGTATCTTTATATCCAGTAATCAGTGTTTTACCTGCAGACGATCACCACTGGACTCAAACAGATCAGGGGTGATTGTCCATAGGTAAACGCAGCATGGCCAATTAAATGCTAACGGCTGCAAGCACTGTCACCTGTCTGTCATTACTATTTACATGGGTCCAACTGAGCAATTCGTAAGATTCACCCAATTGGCCCCATTCGCAAGTGTGAATAGGGTCTAATTCACATTACAGTTGCAGCTACTAAATATACTGCTTAGGCTTTATGATACCACAAAGTCCAGATATGACTGCCACTTATTGGCTGCATTGTAAAAGGTGGTAGTCCTGGTTGTAACCAAAAAAGAACACTTGGACTAACTACTTAGCAGTTAATAAAAGCATTGTTTCCACTGAGTCTTCCCTTGTCTAGACAGATAATTGTGTGTCAGATTAAACTCTCCCTGGGCATTGCCATTTTGGATAATTACTTGCCTTTCCAGCAAGTGTGAAGAGCTGTCTGCTCCATGCAGCTATTATGGGATCAAATAGAAGGCAATAAAACCACTGACTTTGCACTGCTGATTACTGAATAAAAGCAGGACAAATGTAAAACTTTTAGATTGTAAGCCCTCAGGGGCAGGGCCCTCCTTACCATCTTGTCTTGAATTGTATTGTGATTGTAATGTCTTCCTTATATTGTAAAGCGATGCGCAAACTGTTGGCGCTATATACATCCTGTATAATAATAATAAAACGAAAGAGATGTCTATGCTACTAATGGTCTACCCATATACAAAAATGCATGACAAGTCATGTGACATAACACGGTGCCATCCGTGAAGTTACTTCGAGCACCATTTATTTGATTGTTGGCCGGGACTGCTGAAAGGTGTGCGGAGGGCACCTCCATCAATTGCATGTGACATAAGTGCACACAAAATGTACTATGAGTATGAGTAGATCTTCAGATTGTACCAGCACCACCAAATAAAAAATATAAAGCAGTTTAGAACACAACTGAGACCTCAGCTAAAAAAGCTAAAAAGCATTAGCTTTATTATTTCTATTAACAGCAACTACATATGAAAATTGTTCAAAACCCCCAAAAATGCTTCATTTAAAAGGATTTATAACTCCATACCATGAGGCCATTCAAACAATGTATATGTACAATTTTCATATAACTTTGTTATCCTAGATCTCAATTTGTTTCTAAACTACTATATATAAATGTGATCCCAATAATCATCACTTTCAATTATTTTTGTTCTCTATTTCTTTCCTAACTTTGCTAAGCATCTAACACATTTTCCTAATTTCTAAGTATTCTTAAATAAAAATTAATCACTTCTTAATACTGTTAACTAGTTACATGAATTACTATATAAAGGCTAGTGAACATATTGTCAAATGTATTATATTTATATATATCATACTGTAACATTAGATAGATAGATAGATAGATAGATAGATAGATAGATAGATAGATAATATATATAACAAGACCTAAATAATAAAATATTGCAACTTGGATTTAATAGTAAAGCTAGTACATAATTCCAGAGAAACATTGTTTAATACTGAGTGAGGGTTTAATTCATGGAAGTGCAACAGCGCCCTCTCCATATAGACTTGAATACATACAATCAAAAGTAAATATACAGGACTTCATTTCTGCAAATTCAATAAACTAAGGGCTGATTTAGTTCTTAATTTATTTTTATATATACATAATGTTATATTGCTTGCTTACAAACACACATCTGCATGCTAGTGATAGAAATACCAATGAATAAAAAACTATAAGACTGAGATAGAGAGAGAGAGAAGGACTGGATAGATAGCGGGTAGATAGATAGAAAATAAATAGATAGATAGATAGATAGATAGATAGATAGATAGATAGATAGATAGATAGATAGATAGATAGATAGTGTCCTTTCTCTTCCAGTGAAAAGTTTTATTATTAAACATTGGTTATTTTTACACAATAATGCACTAACATATCATCTCAAAAAGATACACACATTGATGACAGATAGATAGATAGATAGATAGATAGATAGATAGATAGATAGATAGATAGATAGATAGATAGATAGATAGATAGATAGATAGATAGATAGATATTGTATAGACTGACAGGACTGCATAATTATTCTTTCTGATATACAGAATAAGTTGGTGCATTTGCATTAGAGAACATGGTTATCATCCTTTATTGATAATGCACCAATATATAATGGTATACTCATTACTATAATGTGTAAAGGTGTGTGCGTGTGTGTGTTTGTCTGTCTAACAATGCACATGTGGATGCATTCTGCCAGAAACGTTGTTGTAGGTACATATTTATTCTATAAGTCTTTTATAAAAGTTTAGCTTTGTACCCCTATGTTTCAGCATCTATCACGTTAAAGTAGCATTATAGTCAGTGCACCACAAGTACTTGTCCTTCTTACATTTACTCCAGGTTAAAAGTAGTTAAACAAATTGACAAAGTTTGCTATTAAATTAAAAGTTCCAATTGCTACACTGTCTGTGAAAACATATTATCAATATGAAGAAGGGACCCTGTGTGGCCCCGAAACGTCGGCTCATGTTGGATTTCTGTGACATCATTGTCCATTAAAAGGACTCATTCATTTTAACTTATGGAGTGCTGGTGACCTATTTTCTTCAATCTTGTGTTTTGCACGGTGCCATCCGTGAAGTTACTTCGAGCACCATTTATTTGATTGTTGGCCGGGACTGCTGAAAGGTGTGCGGAGGGCACCTCCATCAATTGCATGTGACATAAGTGCACACAAAATGTACTATGAGTATGAGTAGATCTTCAGATTGTACCAGCACCACCAAATAAAAAATATAAAGCAGTTTAGAACACAACTGAGACCTCAGCTAAAAAAGCTAAAAAGCATTAGCTTTATTATTTCTATTAACAGCAACTACATATGAAAATTGTTCAAAACCCCCAAAAATGCTTCATTTAAAAGGATTTATAACTCCATACCATGAGGCCATTCAAACAATGTATATGTACAATTTTCATATAACTTTGTTATCCTAGATCTCAATTTGTTTCTAAACTACTATATATAAATGTGATCCCAATAATCATCACTTTCAATTATTTTTGTTCTCTATTTCTTTCCTAACTTTGCTAAGCATCTAACACATTTTCCTAATTTCTAAGTATTCTTAAATAAAAATTAATCACTTCTTAATACTGTTAACTAGTTACATGAATTACTATATAAAGGCTAGTGAACATATTGTCAAATGTATTATATTTATATATATCATACTGTAACATTAGATAGATAGATAGATAGATAGATAGATAGATAGATAGATAGATAATATATATAACAAGACCTAAATAATAAAATATTGCAACTTGGATTTAATAGTAAAGCTAGTACATAATTCCAGAGAAACATTGTTTAATACTGAGTGAGGGTTTAATTCATGGAAGTGCAACAGCGCCCTCTCCATATAGACTTGAATACATACAATCAAAAGTAAATATACAGGACTTCATTTCTGCAAATTCAATAAACTAAGGGCTGATTTAGTTCTTAATTTATTTTTATATATACATAATGTTATATTGCTTGCTTACAAACACACATCTGCATGCTAGTGATAGAAATACCAATGAATAAAAAACTATAAGACTGAGATAGAGAGAGAGAGAAGGACTGGATAGATAGCGGGTAGATAGATAGAAAATAAATAGATAGATAGATAGATAGATAGATAGATAGATAGATAGATAGATAGATAGATAGATAGATAGATAGTGTCCTTTCTCTTCCAGTGAAAAGTTTTATTATTAAACATTGGTTATTTTTACACAATAATGCACTAACATATCATCTCAAAAAGATACACACATTGATGACAGATAGATAGATAGATAGATAGATAGATAGATAGATAGATAGATAGATAGATAGATAGATAGATAGATAGATAGATAGATAGATAGATAGATATTGTATAGACTGACAGGACTGCATAATTATTCTTTCTGATATACAGAATAAGTTGGTGCATTTGCATTAGAGAACATGGTTATCATCCTTTATTGATAATGCACCAATATATAATGGTATACTCATTACTATAATGTGTAAAGGTGTGTGCGTGTGTGTGTTTGTCTGTCTAACAATGCACATGTGGATGCATTCTGCCAGAAACGTTGTTGTAGGTACATATTTATTCTATAAGTCTTTTATAAAAGTTTAGCTTTGTACCCCTATGTTTCAGCATCTATCACGTTAAAGTAGCATTATAGTCAGTGCACCACAAGTACTTGTCCTTCTTACATTTACTCCAGGTTAAAAGTAGTTAAACAAATTGACAAAGTTTGCTATTAAATTAAAAGTTCCAATTGCTACACTGTCTGTGAAAACATATTATCAATTCATGCAGAATTGACTTCATGGAACATTCACCAGAGATTTACATAATCCAGATACTCACCATACGCAGGAGAGGAAAAGTTAAAAGCAGTACAGAGAGTACAGTCTTCATTTTATAGAGTAATTCAGGTTACAAAGATTCCTGGGTGGTCATTCCAATACATTAGATTCAGCAGCATGTGGTCCAGACTTCCTTATAAATAACATTTCAATATACTGCCATGCACACTTGATTCATCCTCCTGATTCCAAAGATCAAAGTAAAACCTTTTCTGAATGTCTGCAGTTTAAAAAAACAAAAAGTTGAATGAACTAAAAAAAAAAAAGTTGAATTGAAATAAAAAAGAGATTTTATTTTCCCCCTAAAACAGATCCTGTAAAGCTATATGGCACCTTTGCAGCTACAAATTCTGACCAGCTGAACAGAGTCAGTCCATGAAAATAACAACTTCCCTCAGTGAACTACAGAGCTGTTGAATCTGAGCACTCATTGCACTTAGTAACTCAACTTGAAGCATTACAGGAGCTTCTGCAATAAGAAGAAATCCTTACAGGCAGCAAAGGATGTCACATATGATTGAGAATTAAATAACAAAACCTTTTACGAATCAAGCCTGAAAGCATGTAATTGCTTATTTTTCCTTCTTTTGATGCCAGGAAAGTTTTGTTCATTTAATCCTTTGAGGGCTTCTAATATTTTTTTTACCTTTTTCTGCATATAATAATGTAAAGTGTTAGCTAATAAAGACAGGATTGGATACAATTGCCCTAATTTAATAAGCAGGTATTAAAGTGTAATTAAACTGAAAATGTAATATATTGCAGCTTACTGTTTCTTAGATGTGCTGGCTGCATTCGTTTTCCAGGCTTCTCCTCTTTATTTTGGTGAAGGTGATCCTGCCAGAAATACACTTCTTGTCCTAGGATGACAATGATCACTCATCTTACCCGGAAAAACCTTTACCACCTCGACCCTTCTCTTCTCTATTCTGCTACTGACTACCTCTATGACAAAATCTCACCCCTATCCTGCCCTGACCTGGCTATTTCTGTCTACAACTGTTCACTTTCATCCTCTCTAGACACTTTGGCTCCCCTCACTACTCGCAGAATTAGACCACGTCCACTACAACCGTGGCAAACAGATGAAACCAAAAATCTCAAGAGACATAGCCGCACTCTTGAACGACTGTGGCGAAAAACTAGATCTCTGCAAGACTTCACCCTGTACAAAGCTGCCCTCCTAAAATATAACTCCTCCCTCTGTGCTGCCAAACAGACTTATTTTGTCACTCTCATTAACAAACTCTCATCCACACCTCGCCAACTCTTTTCTACTTTTAACTCTGTACTTCGTCCTCCACCGCCATCACCCACTAACTCACTCACTGCCCAGGACATTGCCATTCACTTCAAAAACAAAATAGATACAATTCGGGATCAGATCGCCACTGTGCAGTCACCTTCCTCTATTCATGTTCCAGACCCTCCATCATACTTGTTACTTTCCTCTTTTCACCCCAAGTACAAGTACAGATACTTTTTGAGCTCCAAGTTTAGACTAGAGAAAAATTAAAAAGTTAGGAGGCAGCTGTCATTTGTAAGGAGCACACGGAGCTCCTGGGATTTGTACATCTCTGTTTTAATGTATGATTTTGTTTTTATAAATATAAATAAAGGGATGCACCGATACCATTTTTGCAAGTACATGCCCAAGTACTCACAGATACAATTACTGATACATTTTTGTTTATTGTCATGTGACAGTTTTTCTAAAACAATACAGACTAATGATTTCAGGACAGTGGTGGAGCGCCAGAGCCAGGTCCCAGGTGCAACCACAGCAACCCTGGTAGTTCTCATGAAAATGCCAAGTATCGGCACTGGTATCTAAAAAGTATTGGTGCATCCCTAGTACCTATGGAGAAACAGTGTTGTCACCCTAGGCAGAACTACAGAACACCACCTCTTCTCTAACATGGGGGTGTTCGGTAATCCACATAGAGAGCTGGGATCAGTAGCCAACAGCAGCCAATCAGGATTCACTGTGTACTGGTCACACTGGCAAATTGAATTGTAATTGGTTCTGCACCTAGGAATTACCATGTAAGAAGAAGTACTTTTTCCTGAAAAAAACGTCAAAAGTGATTTGAAATCACTAAACAAGTTTTTCAAAAGTGCAAGTAACAAGAGTGACCGTAGTAGATTAGCTATGCAAACCTGATTGTTGCACTGCAACAATTCAAAGTTCACTTTCAAATCACTTGTTTCTGTAAGAGTTAAAGCTATGGGGTCAAGAGCTGGCTGAAAACAATCTGAATTTGAGGTCCATTGGGTACTTGATATGTGAGCTCTTGTTTTGAAGACAGATTTTGTCTTTAGTTCTATATTAAATATATTTCTTCAAACAGATATAGATTCTGATCACTGAAGGTGTCAGTTGTGAGAAAAACCCTCTTTTGTAATGTGTCTTTGCTGGTCTTCATAGCAACGTTTTGCAGTATTTTATTTTAGTGTTATTATCTGTTTATGTATGTACTTTTATATAGTGGTATAGGTATATGAGCTGGCTCATTATTCCCTAACCAATAAATAGTTTTTGTTACAGTATACATGACTGTCATTTGAAATATCCTTTTGACAAATACAATATCCTCCTGTAAGTATGTTGACAATGTTAGACCGGCAGGACAATGCAAAGCAGCTGAGCTCTGACTGAGTGTGTATCAGGACTAACTTCTCAGCACTGGATCCCGTAGTCACGCAGCCATAAGCACCCAAAACAGTACTATATTAGCATGGCCTTACCTCCACTTTCCCAATAGAGCAGTCATGTATGGGTGTACAATTTGGTAGGCACCAGAGAAGGGTCACTGTCAGTAATTCACACATACGTGGTCTGACACACTTGCTGCCATTTTATGCAATACAAGTCTGCTTGAGGAAGCTTGTGCCGAGTGGTGTGGCTATTACACAGCTCTGCCATTACAGACTACTGTCTGCATTTTTACTGAGGGAAAACTGTTTTTTAAATCATTCCAAGTAACAAATTATAAGATGCAGAGGCATAAACTACAAGGAGGTAAACAGGTGTGATATTTCTAATGTGCTTTATTTTTCATGAATATACATCAGGATTCAGTAGTAGTTTGTATTAGCTAGTAGTATATCTTTTAATAAGCATCATGAGGTGAAACGCGTCAAAGAGGGCGTCCTCTAGGAAGGAAATAAGTCAAGGCAACTGGACTTGCTGCATTTTTCTTGAAGACATTTCACTGGTCTTCCAACCAGCTTTCTCAGTTCAGAATGACTTGTACAAAAATTCTCTGGGAATAAATATGCATACTTGACAAGGAGGAGGACTGGTTCAAAAGAGGTGTGAAAAAGGCCATTTCTGTAAAAATGGAGAAGCCAAGTTTGAATAGAGGTGGGGGCATCTAATGTCTGCCACATACAATGCTGTTTTAACACCAACTAGACTCCAATTATGCAAATGCAATCAACACCTGGTTTGCAACTACCGTGTTTCCCCGAAAGTAAGACCTACCCCGGAAGTAAGACCTAGCGCTATCTTCAGGGATTTCTGTCATATAAGACCTACCCGAAAATAAGACCTAGTTTGGGGTAGGTCCAGCGGCCTTCCGGGACCTCGTCCAGTCCTGTGAGTATTCCTCCCCCAGCCCGTTAAGACATCCCCCGAAAATAAGACTTAGTGTCTTTTTTTGTGCAAAATAAAAATAAGACAGTGTCTTATTTTCGGGGAAACACGGTAACAGGTTATGTGGCTTCTTTTTTTACAGATATACCATGACCTGGATGAATGAGAACCTTCACAGACATCTAGGAAGGAAGTCTTGCTGGACATGTTCTGCCTTGTCGATCACAAATCGATTATTGGTTGGACTATGGTGTGCAGTTTTTTTTCTTCTGTGTTGCTTTGTTGGAGCGTGGACAGCTCCTAACCTGTGTTGGTGGCTTGGTGTCAGATGGAGCGGGGATATCCTTTTGCATTTTTATACTGGATTTTATTTGCTAGTGTTAGACTTTAATCAATAATATGGCCTAATATATTTCCTCCTAAAGTACAGTGCTACATATTTTCAATAGGCACAATATATCTCAAATGTCAAAGCCAATTCTTTTTTTAGGACTGAGGAAGGAGCCCAATAAAGTAATATTTGTCTTGGATCCATGTCTGTTTAATTACAGCCCTACCCTCAGCATCCATACCCATTGTCAATGGTTGCAATAAAGGTTGGGTATTGAGGTTTGATACAGGGAATGGCCTTATCACAAGGATTGAGGGACTAGATTGTAAGTATCGCACTAGGTAGTAGAGAATGTAGGAGGCATCTCAGTAAGTAGTCCACTCTATATGTAACATATGGGCATGAAACATCCTGAAATCAGAGTAACAGGCAGGAATGTAATGCAATACCAGCAAAATGAATGTACAAACGCTGAGGATTCTTTTAGGTCACATCAGGGGATTAGTCGACAGGCAGCAACTATAAGAAATGAGCAAGAGAAGGAGATATTAAAATACATTCATATAGATACAGATAATTTGCAGATGTGGGATTACCCGTTTTTTAAATTAAAACCCATGGGTGATGACACAAATTCTCAAGCAAAAATAACCCAACAGCTTCTCTCGAGTTATTAGGAGGATGAAGAAAAACTCATCTTTACAATGAGATAAAAGATAAGTTCTGTGACTACAGAAACACTTACAAGGAAGTCATCTGATGATAATGCTGCAATAAACTAATCAGGTAAATTAGTAATGCTTGCATTAATCCTCGCCATTTTATATTTTCTACCTGATTTAACATTTTCATATTATCAATTATATTTCTTTAACTATCTATATATTAAAGCATATGTAAACCAAATCAGTAAAATGCCCAATAAGCTTAACATCGTTAATTTCAAATGTCATTTTCAATCTGTTTAAATCAGCAGCTATCATTAAGTCTATGTGTAGTCAAAATCTTTCTTTAGTCCTTGTCTCCATAGGAGATAATAACTCTCCAATAAATAAAGGAGTACTAAAGGCTTGGTGTTTTTTTACCTTAATGCAA